GCTCAGCCCCCTCCCGCCCAGACCCGGAGTCTCTGAACGAAAACTCCATCTGTCAGTTATCCTCACACATTCCTGGAAGAGAAAAATCAGCCTGAATTCCAGCAAGTCCTTGGCAGGGTTTATCAAAAACTTAAGAAGCATACATACCACTAAGCTCTTCACTGCAAATTCCTGTAATCGCAGAAAGTGGGAAGTCAAAGGGATGCCCACCCGTGGGGCGCGGCGGGCACGGGGCTCCCCCAGCAGCTCAGCTGTGGGCAGGAGCAGGCTGCTCTGTCAGTTCTGCAGGGACCCTGGGGAGATAGGTGCGAATACCCAGGGAAACGGGGTCGTTCTGGGGACAGACCCCCAGGTAAAGCAAGGGACATGCAGCGTTTATAGGGAATCCCATTTTTGCTTAGAAGGGGGAAGGAAATATGTATTTTCCTATGTTTTTAGAAAGAAGCAATGGAGGGACCAACCCAGAATCAAATGAAAGTATCCTCTGGGCTGAGTGGGGGGGGTGGGCAGGGATGGAAGCAGGGTATTCTGCCTGAATGCACGGGTTATGCTCTTGACTCTGGAACCAAATGTTTTCTACAATTAAAAATTAAAATTAAACCAAGTTTTAAAAGGAGAACACTAAGCGGAATAAAAGAACAGGAGTACCAATTTGGTGGGAAAACCACATTAACAGCTAAGTCATTACACATCCCTAAGGGGGTAAAAACAACAGCCTCCAAACAAGCAAATAAATATCAAAATCCATTCAGTAGACTTGTTAGTAAACTCATTGGTAATGTTATTTTTAATTGTTATATATAATGGGAAAACACAAATAAGTGTGTTATTAGGAAAAAGATTGTTACTGTAGAAGTCATATAGACACCAATCTTGAACAAGTAATAACCCTGTAAGCTCTCATTTTAAGTAGAAATACCAGTATGACTCATGTTTTATTTTTCTCTTCCTAAAAAATAAAAATAAAAAATATTCCCGAGCTCTGGTCACTGAAACGGCCTAGAACCAATGGAACTAGAACCAATGGAAACCCAGGAGCAGTGAGCACCCAGGTGCCCAGACTGTGTGCTCTACAAACCCCTCCCACTGACAGACCCAGGGGCTGCAGAGAAGGGATGGGTTCAGGTTTGGGGCAATAAGAGCCAGGATATCCTGTGTCTAAAAGCAAAACACCCTCAAGGATTAGTGGGGTGGCATCAAATCACACAGTAGCCAACTTGGAGGGGCCTCCAAACCCACGGTCCCCACGGGATCATTTGAACATCAGAAAGAATCATTGCTTCTTTGAATCAAAACATAACAAATGTATAAAAGTCAGGAGGTCACAGTGATACGATGAAACAACCACAAACCTCCTGAGGCGCCACCTTCTTCTGAAAATTGATAAATTAAGAACTGAGCGCCCATGCCTTCGCTCTGTGGACTGTATTTTAGGGTAACCATCTAGGTGATAGGGCAAGTTCTCGGGAGAGGAGCAGAGCTAATAAATGCAGAAGAAACGATAGCATTCAAAAACGCAGTGCACAGCCCCTCTCATGAAATAACAAGCCAGGGTAAGCACCCCCAGGGGCTGCTAAAAGCATCGGGCGGGAGGCTGATGGGGGACTTTGCATCAGAAGGATTGGGCTGACCATGGCTGGACCCACTGCTTAATCTCAGCACCACTCAGAGGGACCACAGTCCCCGGGCCCTGAACGGGATGCGATAGGAAGCCAGCTCAGGGGACAAAGCAGCGATAGAGGAACATGTCAAAGGCCGCTTGAGGAAACCCCAGGCTGCTCTAGTACAAGGAAAATTCTGTAAGAGCAATGGCCCAGTTTCTTCTCTAAACAACGGGGGTGGGGGGGGGTGAATGGGAACCAGACTTTGCTAGGGTCGAAACAGCCAACCGCATCCAGCCAGTGTGGCTCAGTGGTTGAGTATCGTCCCGTGAACTGGTTCCATTCTGGTCACGGCACATGCCTGGGTTGCAGGCTCGATCCCCAGCGGGGGGCGTGCAGGAGGCAGCCCATCAATGGTGATGTCTCTTATCGATGTTTCTATCTCTCCCTCTCCTTTCCTCTCTCTCTAAAATCAATAAAAACATATTAGAGAAAAAAAACAAAAAACAACAGCCAACCGCAACAGATCCTGATTTGAACAAACAAGCTGTGAAAAGTCATTTTGGAGGTGATTGTGGAAAGCTAAATGCAGACTGGATTTTTTTTCTAAGTCCCCCTTTGTCAGATTTTACACGTGAAGTATTTATGATTTAAAAGATATGCTCTGGCCACCCCCCTCACACGCCATCCCCCTGCAAAGAAAATCGATGGATGGGAAACTGAGGCAGGGTGTGTTGAAGCCAGCTCCTACTGGTTTGTGAGAGGTAATTGCTAACCATTCAGGAATTTTGCAAGCCAGACGTTAACCTTGGTAACGTGAAACAGCCATAGCAGGAACATTGATGCCTCAGGCCTCAGCAGATGTTCCAAGTGCGGAGGCTTTTATTCTGAGAACTGGTTTATCAGCACCTGGCTGGACAAGCCAACCCGAGCCCCTGGTGACAGCTTGTTCATTCCCTCTACTTCTGTTTGTGTGACATTTTCCACAATAAATAGTTTAAAAGGGCACATCCCTAGGCCTGCAAATCCCACTTCTAAGAATTGATCCTGGAAAAGTATTTGAAGTAGGTTCTGTAATTCAAGCGGCTCCAATTACTTAGCTACCAAAAAAAAAAAATGCTTTTTTAAAACATGGGCCTAATACATTTTTTTTTTTAATGTAAACAGCCTAAATATCAAAAAGGAGAAAGTTCTGGAGATGGGCTGCACAGCAACGTGAATATACCTAACAGCGCCGAGCTTAATTGAAACTGGTTCAGGTAGCGAGTTATATGTTATGTGCACTTTATCACGATTAAAAATTGTAAAGAAAAGGGATCCATTATGTCATACAGCGGAACAGGGTTGGAAGTGATGTTGCAGAAGAAAATGTGGTGCTATGAAAAGGTAAGGGTGATCTTTTGGGGCGGAAAAAGCAGGTTATAAAACCATATGTTCAGCTGGGCTGCATTCAGGTACATTTTTAAATGCACGAGCCTGTGGAGCCAGGCTGGAAGGGGGCCATCCATTGAGAGCACGACGCTGGGCGCTAAAATACATGCTCACGAAATCGGCCCGAACCCCAGGAGCCAGGCCGCCACGCACACGTCACCTCCCGCAGATGTGGGAACGGGGGCGGGAGGGCGGCCCGGACCTCCTCCCGCCTGCTGCACGCGCCCTGGGGTATTTGATTCCCCCCTTTCCCCGTGTGTCGTGAGACGTGGTTTTTGGTGTGTTTTTTTGTTTTCTTGTTAATCTTCATCGGAGGGAGGGGGAGAGAGAAACATCGACGTGAGAGAGACACATTGATTGGTTGCCTCCCACAGGAGCCCCTCCCGGGGCCACCGCTCTAACCCCTGAGAACACGGTCCAGGGCCTGAACCACGCTGTGTGTGTGTTGCAGGCTGTTGATGGAGAAGGGGGCGGATGACAGCCGGGACGGTGGTCATCACCGGGGGCATTTTGGCGACTGTGATTCTGCTGTGCATCATCGCAGTTCTGTGCTACTGCCGGCTACAGGTACTGGAGGGGCTGCACGTACTGGGGGGCAGGGGGAGGGCCTCAGAGGGAAGCCAGGAGGGTGGCCCTGTCGGGGGATGGAGCCCCCCACAAAGCCTGGGGCTCAGGAAGGGGGAAAAGTCAGGTCTCGGATAAAGTGCCAAGCAGACAGCCCTGGCCTGACTCTGCCTCTGGGGGCTCAGTGACCGCGGCTGCCTGGCGCCCCTTGCCCAGGGCTTCGCAAACACTGAGGCTCACAGAGGGTAAGGGACTTAGCCAGCGGCACACAGCCATCGAGGGGAGGGCAGAGGTGAGCGCTTGAGCCCTGCTCTCCCCCACCCACACTTCAGGGCAGTCTGGGGGCTGGGGGCGGGCACATCTTTCTGAGGAAGGAGGGGAAGCCACGTGCAGGCCGAGGCAGCACACCCCAGTGCTGAGGCCAGGCCGCCTGACCCTTTCGTGCCTCGGTTTCCCCACCTGCACGATGGAGGTATTAATTGCACCTGCCTCAGTTGCTACGTGGATAAAACGAGCGAACGCTTCGTTGCAGAGTGTTCGGCAGGGCGCCCGGTCTGAGTGGCGGTTGTGGGTCCCGGGGTCAGTGCCCTGCCCGCCCCGGCCCCCTCTCTGTGCTCCGGGGGAGGTGGGCAGTGGGGTCACCAGCCCTGTGCCCGCAGTACTACTGCTGCAAGAAGGAGGAGCCTGAGGAAGACGAGGAGGAGCCCGACTTCGCCGTGCACTCGGGCCTGCCCCCGCTGCACTGCAACCGCAACCTGGTGCTGACCAACGGGCCCGCGCTCCACCCCGCCGCCTCCGCCGCCTTCGGCCAGAGGTCCCCGCAGGCCCGCGCCCTCTGCCGCAGCTGCTCCTACTACGAGCCGCCCACCTTCTTCCTGCAGGAGCCCGAGGACCAGGGCGTGAGCAACGGAGGGGACCTCGTGGGCTACGAGGCCCTCGGCCGGGAGGGCGCGGAGCTGCCGCCCGGGCCCTTTGCAGGCCTGCAGGCGCTCAACCCCGGCCGCCTCTCGGCCATGCGGGAGGCCTTCTCGCGGAGCCGCAGCATCAGCACCGACGTCTGACAGGCCCACGCCCCTACCCCT